GGGGGTTGTGATGTAAAAGAGTGTATATATATATATATAACACTTATTGTTTTTAAACCATTTAAAAAAAGTAAAACAATTGGGTATTTGGTATGTAAATTCTCAATTCAATTGAAACTTGGAATTTTTATAATCTTTTTTGTAGAATATAAACTATTATCAAGTTTATTTAATTAAACTGCCAATTAAATAGGATTATAAGCTCACTAAATAATCTATACTATTTTAATTATGTTGCAAATATTAAAAATCGTACATTCGAATAAACGTCAATGTTTAAAAGAAGTGTATATATATATATATATATATATATATATATATATTTATTTATTTTTTTTTTTTTGTTTTTTTTTATTGTAACAATACGTATTTTAATGAGAAAAATATATGATGTAAATATATAAAATCTTTTATTAAGATATTAAGGTATTAACGAGGGTTTCGATGTTTTGAAATAATAGGTCTTACCATTTATTATATAATTATACATATTCACATATATTATGACACAATTTATAATTATATTCATAATCTGTTATTATGTACTAACGTTTAATTCCATAATTAAATTACAATAGTCAATAAAAAATAAAAAATAGGATATCCTTAATAGTAAATATTTCATTATTATCGTTTTAATGCTATAACTAAATATATATAGTGTACGTTTATGAAATAATACATTGACGAAAAGATTGAAATTTTAAAATATTTTATTTTAATACATTAGTTGTACAAGCAATGTAAACTTTAAACTATATTTGTTAAATTATAAAACTTCATACATCTAATTGGATAAATTTTTAATTATTATTAAAACAAAAGTTAAATCAAACTACCAGCTTTATTTAGTTTGATTTATTATAAACAAAGTAAAAGCTTCTTTAAGAAAACTGCAACGATAGACAATTTCAACCTGTTGAATTGGAAGTTTAAAGAATATGTGACCTGGCGCCATCTACATAAATAATAACCAACTACTTGACAAATTATTGTAACACTATGTTGTAATTGATAATGTAGGATGAATAAAGTAGAGTAAGTAATTGTGATGTGATTATTAATTGAAATTAAAGTTAGTGAAATATATTTATAGTAAATAAATATCTGTCATTGGCGGATTCGTTATATAGAATAAAGAAATTCTAAATAGTAAATATTCCAATGTAAACAATTAATAATCCAATGTTTGCTTCCAGGATTCTTTGAGAAAATTAGTTTACTTCTAACGCTTCGGCTTTAATCTCCGTATCGCTATCTTCCATCCTCTCATCTTCCTCATCCTCCAATTTCTTTTGTTTAAGTCCAGCCGCTGGTGAACGTATGAGAGCTAAATCTCTTTGTACTTCTTTAATATCCCTTTCTTTTTCAAGTTCTCGTCCTTTTCTTAATCTCTGCATAATATGCGTATTTACCCTCCTCTGCCTAATAGCTTCGACGGTCTTCATGGCTTGAACGGTCTTTGACCAAAGCTCTCTATTATACTTAATGGGAATGTTTCTTCGTTTTTCAAATTCAAATGTCGGATCGATTGCCAATTCTTTTCCAACCGTTTTTCTGTAAGCTTTCGTCCATTTAACCTTCCTTGGATTCTTCTTCTTTTTGAATGCGGCATGGCATTTTGATCGACAAAATCTAAAAATCTATTATATATTTATAGTTAATAGTAAAGCCGAAAGTTGATCGATACTGACTCATCATTTGTATATTTCATTAATTTGTTTAAAATACAGTATAATGTTAATTATTAGATAAAGAAGAAAGCAGTAGAAAACAGTCTGTCTCGCTAGCAGATCCGATAAAATCAATAATTATAAGACATTAGTTAGATTAGACAAGATGGGAATATAAATTTAAATAAAAATAAATTACAGTAAAAAAATTAAATCTATGCCTTTGTTTGTGTGCGCGTCTGCGTGCGCGTGTATTTATGCATAGATATATATGCATAACCTAAAAATGATTATGCGTGTCAAAAGGCACACAAATGAATATGATAATTAACTAAAATAAAATGTTTTACCTTGCAATCGTTTCTAACAAACTGGATACCATGTCCAGGATAAATTCTGGACGAACAAAAATAACACGTCTCGATCCTCATTGTTACGACTCTATGCACGAGGCAATGGTAGTGACAAAAGTACAATAAATTCTAACCAAATATCAACTAACCAAGTACAGATGTTGATCGTTAGATGGCGCAATTATATTATTTTCCTTACACTTTCATTATCAGACTTATAGATTTGTTGAATTTCATTCTATTCTTACAATAAGTTACAATTACTTTATGAAATTTACTAATAAATACAATCGTGATTATTTTATTTCTCATCCCTTCCAATCATTCGAAATAAAAAAAAAAAAAAAAAAATAACATTATTTTTATATAACACTTATAATTATAATTATTGATTATGTTCATTTAATAATTGATGATTCGGAGAGACTCTTAGTATGAGGACGAGGAGTGCAATAAATAATTTGTCCCAACTCAACGCAGCGATATTTTTTTATTATATAAAAAAATTAAAAGCGCTCATAGTCAGTAATTATTCGATTTTGCAGAAAAATGAGAAAGAAATAAAGGAAAATGGGCCTTAGTAGTATTAGATGTATTATTGTTTTATTAATTTGATATAAAAACAAAGCGAAAACAAAAAACAAAAAACCAAAATTACAAAATTCAATTCTTAATATTATATGTTAATAATATTATAACTACGCATTTACTTTTGCTTAGAATTAATTTTTATTGAAATACAAGCCATCGACGAAACAACGATTTATAACAATATTTATTCTTTATTTCTTAATTACTGTAAAATTTAATTAAGCAAACTTGAATTTGCTGCTAAAAATGTGCAAAACATACCATAAGAATATGTCGTCTTCATATTTTTTAATTTTGTTTTTCCTTCGTCCGTCTTAATTTTAATACAATCGCATATCCTCCAATGTAGGCATTGCGACTCGACTCGACTCGACGACCGTAAGCCAAACATATTAAAAACATAATTGAAAATAAAAATTTTGTCTAACCCGCCTATGAGCAATTAATGTCGCTCCGATTATAAACCGATAAATTCTGTATTATGGCTAAGTAATACATTTTAATAAAAGAATGACATAATCTTGCTCGATTTGCATAAATAAATCTTTAAATGATGATCCATTGATTATCCGAACTCTCAAAGTCCGAGAATAGAAATAAAAGTATTCGTTCGCCTGTAATAGAATCAGCCAACGTTTCGCTATTAATACTAATACGAAAAATTAATCAAAATACACTATCGTTATCATTATTATTGTTATTATTGTTATTGTTGTTATTGTTGTTATTATTATTAAATGCGTCCCACTTGTCAGAATGGGATCTCTCGAACAATAGCAAAATCAAACGGAACATTCGTTATTCCCGTAACACTTTGCCAAGCTCCATCGCCAAACCACAAAATGCGCCCTTTGATACGCGATCGATCATTATGGAGCCTCGATCGATCCTCGACAATTAATCAACCGAACTAGCATTCTAGAATCTGAAACGTATATGCGAGCCGAGCGATCGATGTGAGAAATAATAGCGACGCCCTTTGGGGACAATGGCGACGAAACGAGTGCGCGACACCGTGAAAAAATAAAAGGCTCTACAGTTTCGGCTCGCAGTTGCTGGGAATCGATGTGCCGAGGGAATCAGCGAGGCGTCCATATCGATTTGCGCGAGCCGACGAGCACTAATCTAATATTGAAAAAGTACGGGCGCCCGGCGTATGGGAGGGCACGTGCTTACCTAGTGGGGCACCGACCGGTGGCCAGGAACATGTGGAACTACCTGATCTTCTCCGGCCTCTTCGCGATCGTCTCGCTCCTCTTAACTCAGAATCTCAAGAGGCCGATAAGCATCGTGGACCGAGGAAAAACCCGTTACGATTACGTTATCGGTAAGACTCGCTGTAATTTTGCTGCACGATTATTGGTAATTTCGGTGGTAAGGATGAGGTTGCGCGTGACGTTGGCGACAGATCCTAGTAGCTCGTGTGGCCAGTTAGAGTTCCTTGTCTATTCGGCCTTGCTCCATCTGTCCCAAATGAAATATTTCTAATGTAAATGCTAATTTAGCGAGTGTTTTCGTATCTCGGATAATGCGATGTAAATTTCGTCGGCTCGAGCGTGGCTCGTAAAGTCCCAGCGGAGTTTGAAATGTCAGTGCTTTTCATTCGCTCGCCTTTTTCAATTGCCGAAAAATGTTAATAATGTTAATAACCAACAGTTGCTTATTACGTGTTCCATATTACGCGTTGCAATGTTTCGGTAACGGA